CCCTGGTCACCGCTGACTAGAGCAAAGCAATATCGCTGATGTTTAAATAGAATTTTCTACTTTTTTCTCATTGAAACCAAAAAATGGCAAAAATGTTGTTCAGGTAAAAAAAAAAAAAAAACATTTAGAATGGTGATTTGAAATCAAGCTTTGTTTTGAAATGCTACTTCAAAGCAAAATGTTGAAAGTTCAAAACAAACCATTTTGACATTTTCAATTTTTTTTTCAAAATATTTTAGCTTAAACTACTCACAGAAGTTACATATTATTACAGTGTCCTAAAAATTTATTTTTGGTGAATTTGCTATTAGCTGAAACAATTGCACTGATGCAATTCTGGGGGCTCCATGGGCTTCAGCATAGGGTACGAGACTCACCGCCTCAGAGTAGAGAGCGTAGCAGTTTTGAGAACCCTGGATTGAGATATTTTGCTTTCAGGCCTGTGGCCTGAAACCTGGAATCCTTGGTGTGGTTGCAAACCTCGTGTCGCCAGTTCTGGAAGCAAACCCCTCAACAGCCTGCCAGGCAAGCTGTCAGGAAACCAGACAGGTTTTTCAGCAGAAGTCTTTCATGAAACATATGTGAAAAGATGTGACTTGAGCCATCCTCATGAAAATCCACCTAAATTGGTCTGCACTATAAGTATCTGAACATTGCTACTTGCATGGAAAGTTTCTAAAGAACAGAAAAGGTGCCCCCAAGAGCTCTGTGATATAGAAATCTACTGAGTTTTAGCAGAAGCAAGCTCTGTCAGCTGCTAGGGCAAATGGTTTATCTATTAGAATTCCACAGGGAAAAACAGCCAGCAATTTTCATTAACATTATTAATAATAGCTGGAACCTTACCATATGTCTTAGAGGCATGGATGCAACTTCTGAGGAGAAATGTCAACAGCTTGGGGGATAATTTTGAGAAAAAGTAAGAACATCTGGGTTTAGATGCCTCATGCTACCAATTATGGTTTATCCAAAACTAGCTCAGCAGTATCTACTAATTCTGACGTGCACATTTTAATCTGGCCTTTAGCTGTAAAATGTTTCTTCCATTAGACTACGTTATTGCTCAGTTAACCAGCATGCAGACTTAAATATTTCTGGTTGGATGTGAGCAGGCCAAATACCAATAGAAAGGATGATGTGATTTTATAATATGTTTTAATGTAGAACATTCATAATCCAGCATTTCAGTCTGTCAATTTATGATAAATATCCTGTGCTGTACAATCTTTAATGGCACTGCCATTTTGATTTCTTCTTCTTTTCCCATTGCTATTCAAGCAAGTATAGTCTCACCAAAATAAGCTTCTGTAATATAGACAACTTTGCACTGAGTAGTCCATAAATTGCATAATCATATTTTTGGGGCTTTTCAAGTTTCATCCTATGCTTGTAATACTCTGTAACACTCAAGCAGACCAAAAATTAAAAACCCACTCACCCCCTACTGTGTTTCATAACTTACAAACAACTCTTGTTGTGGCTCTTCTGGTCCAGACTGTAGCAAAAATTTCACAGAATATCTGCCACCATCTCATCCAATGGAAGAAGTGTATTAAATAAATTTTATTTATTAAATAAGATTATGATAAATTAAATGAGCATTGTAAAATTCAAGGTGTTTTATCATTTCTAAGCCTCTTCCACTCTGATGTCATGTAATATTAAAGTTGAATTTAATTATAAATGGGATTCCAGAGATGTGGGTGGGAAAATTTTTGTGTTCTTTTTGTTGCAAACTAATTCCCATTCCACTTTTTCATCTAACGAAATAAATGCAGGTGTGGTGGAACTACATGCATCTTTTGTTCATGTGAGACTGGGACCCAGTTTCCCTACCTTTTGAAATTTGAGAATTATACTTCGATCTGTTTTTCTTGTCTCTCTTTTGCTCTTGTGATGGTATGTTGCCCACTTAAGCTTATATATGTTTTTATTAGGGGTTTCTTGCCTTAGTGATTTATTTTCCCCAGCTTTTAACAGTTGTTGATGTCTCAATTCACAATGTTATGTCTTTAAATGCATTTGCTAATTAATACAAAGTTTTCATATTTTCATTGGTTAAATCTCTCTAAGACATTTCAGGACCAACACATATCAAGAGACACATGCATTATTTAGTGGCTTTCATTGGCATCTTCTCACTAATTTTATTTTTTCAGTCTATTCATTTTCACATAATTTTCTTACTTTGCATTAACTTACTTCTTATTCCCTCTGTTCTTATTTGAGTCATTTATTTGTATTTCTACAACTTACATTATATTTTCTTGCATCAAAACTCATTCCCCCAACTACAGATACATCATAGTTATTTCTGACTTGATCACTCCTTTTCCTGTTTCTAAGACAATTACTAATAATCTGATTATGTTCAAGTTCTTTTAACCCATTGGCTGTTCCAGCTCAGAAAGCTTCTCCTCTAATTTTAATTCAGCTGTCCTTAGTTTCTCCCTGCTATCAACCTTTCTTGGAAATCCTCTGTTCTTTTTTGCTTCCTTAATATATGTAAAGTCTCATGGTGCACACCTTGTTGTATGGAAGTGTTACCCCATTTGGATTTCTATACACTATCAAAAGGCATGGACAGTTAGTAGTAGTATCTAGATTTTGTGATAACAGGATTAAGAAAAAGGAAGGTCGCTGAATGAGACAAAATGTAGGGGAGAAGTGGGAAGGAACCATGATGAAAGAAGACATTTGTGAGGTCTACGAAAAAGGAGTTAGCTGTGAAAAGTTACAATGCTTCATTGTGTAGGCCTTAAGATAACAGATCTAAGTGGATTTTACCCACAAAAGCTCATCCCCCCACCTTTGGTATTTAAAGTCACTGCATTTAGTGATTTGTGCATTTGTGGGGGAGTAGTCTAAGTTTAAGGCCCCTCCCCTCAGCTAAGACATTCATGACACACTAAATTAGCTTAGATGACATCTACTTATTAACTGCAGTTATCTCTAATTTGCCTTTGATATTAAAGAACATTACTCCAAATGCAGCACTCATCCTGAGGAAAAGAATCAAAGATATATTATATGGCAGCTGACTCTGCAAAGAAGAGAGTATACTCATAAATACTTGTTAAAACTTAATTAATATTTTGTTCTTTTCATACACAAACTCATCTGAACCCTTTTCTTTAAAAAAAAAAAGATGGAATTTGGTTTGGATCCTCTTAATAACCAGTTTCTGGCCAACTTCCTCTTTTTCTGAAGCAGTTTATCTGTTTTATATACAAACTAGAAGACTTATCCAGCATTGCCTGAGTCATTCAGGGTAGGGGGCTGGCAATGCAGGGGTACAAGAGTCAGGGCAGTGCCTTTGGAATGTGGGGGGACAGGGTAGGAGGCTGGGAGTGTGGGGATGCAGCAGTCAGGGTGGGGGTTTGAGGAGGGGCTCAGGGCAGGAGGCTGAGGATATGGGGATGTGAAAGTGAGGGTGTGGAGTGAGGAGGGGGTCATGGTGGAGGGGTCCCATCCAGTGGGACTTTCTCTTCTTCTGAGCCAGTGGGGTCTTATCTCCCCATCAGTCCATCCACCCATATCCTGACTAGCAGGGTCCTTCTCTCTCCCCCCAGTTCCTTCAGCCATCAGGGCCTTTCCCCCTTGTCCAGCAGGGCTTTCTCCCTTCCCCCTCTGGCAGGGGCAGCCCATGCCTATAAGCAAACTCGGCAGCTGCCTAGGGTGCCAGTTATATGGGGCACCAAATTCCCTGCCACTTCCCCTTCCCCTTCCCCTAAAGCCTGGCTTCAGCCCCGCAGGAGGAGCACGGCGGCTTCCCTGCACCGCAGGAGGGGTGAGTTGGCCCCTGAGGAGGTGAGGAGTTGGCCCCAGGGGATGCAGTACACGGGAGTTCCCTGCACCTCAGGAGGGGTATCAGCCCTGGGGGAGAAGGCACACGGGGGTTTCCCTGCGCCACGGGAGGAGAGGGGTCGGCTCCAGGGTAGGCACACACCAGCTTCCCCTGCGCTGCAGGGGGTTGGCCCCGGGAAAGGCACGTGCAGGGGTTCTCTGGCCATGGGAGGGAGGGTCGGCCCTGGGGGAGGAGGCATGTGGGGGTTTCCCCGCGCCATGAGGGGGAGGGAGGTCAGCCCTGGGGAGGCAGGCACCGGCTCCCCGTGTGCCGTGGGAGGTGGGGTTGCCCCAGGAGAGGCACGTGCCAGCTTCCTGGGGGTGGGGGGCGGGGAGTCCTGGTAGGGGCCTGGGTCCGGG